TTATACGTTCGCGTTAACGTAACGGTGTTATCATAGGTACAGAAACGTCTGAAACGATTCCTGCCGTGTTTGGAACCATTTGCATCGATGCAATCGCGCGACGGCCGCACCGCACCGCGCGTAGCTTCATGCGAAGCCACGAACGTTCGCGCGTCAATGGCAAGAAACGCAAACACTGGCAGATTACTTCGATGAAAATAGTGGATACAACGTCGTCGAACGAATAATTTGTACGCCGGTTCGACACGGTGCATATACATATGTAGCATTGTATATTGGACAGCCACGATAACAGAGTTTGCGATATTTACAGATAACGTTAAGAAAATAACAAATGCGGCGGCTCAACGAGGCCTTAGAAATGTTTGCAATGCGTCAAATGAATGATGACGATGGCGATCGCCGTTGCCGAAAAATGTTCCACATCGAATTCTTTATTATTAAAATAAAGATATATTATAAATTCTTAGTATTTAATATTAGTATTTAAATAGTGTTATTTAATAATAGTATTTAATATTACAAGTATTAAATTTTTATATATATTATATTATATTATATATTTTTATTATTATTATTATTATATATATATTATATATATTATATTATATATTTGTTATTATATATTATTATATATATTTTATATATTATATTATTATATATTATATTGAATTCTTGATATTCAATTTTTTATATTATACTAAAATATTATATTAAATTTTATTTATTAACCCTTTGCACTCGAAGCCACTTTAACTGTAAATCTAATACAATTTTTCCGACCCACGCTGTCCCTATTTTATATGACAAAAACCCCTTTTTACGCGCGTGAAATTGAGTCTTGTAACTTATGCAACAGTAATACTTTCAATAATTTTTCAAATCTAAATTTTGTCGCTGTAAGAATTATCTTGCACTGCAATATAAACATTTTTTAGCAGTGCCTCGGAGTCGCCACTCGAGCGCAAAGGGTTGATATTATTAATTTTAAATTTTAGATTTCCTCACTCTCCAGTCTCCAAAAAAAATACGAACACTCTCGTGTCTAATATTTCCATCGACGATAAAAAAATGTCCGCATCAAATGTACGAATAATCGCGACGCCGTAATCGCTTAGTTTACACGATCGAATATATCGCGGCAGCGGTTCCAGAAAATCCGTACGCGCGTCGCATTATATTCGTCGACTCATTTTCCCGAGAACCGCGCATCCACCGCTAGATTTTCGTCATCGATCATCTAAACATTACGGTCGAACAACGACCAACGTGCCTTAATTTTCGCCACTTCTTCGGTCACGGCGGTCGACGGAAACGGGCGCCCCGATCTCGTTAGTGCCGTTTCGTTCGAAGAAGGCGCGGAATTTTCGGAAAAGCCGTAAGTGTCCGGGAACGCTTCTGGTCGGCGGCGTACGTGTGAAGCCGCGCGTGTAAGAGTTGGCCGGCGCGGTGCTCGCGCTCGCGAGCGCACACCAGCGAAATGAGTGCACTCGTGTGCACCGCATGCATAGGCCGCCGCGCGGCCAGCCTTTACGTAACTCCGCGCCGTTCCTCTTTCCGCGCCGCGCCGCACCGCACCTCGCCGCGTCGGCCAAAGCAGGGCCGGACCTACCGTCGCCGGTCCCCCGTTCCGCTCCGAATCGGAGCGGAATCCGAGACGGATTTTTCGCGGATCGAACGCGCGAAGAACAATGCCGCGCGCGTTTTCGATCGCGTCGAACGCGCGGGCAACGCTTTCGCCGTCGACGAAACGGCTCCGCCGAGAGAAAATCTCCGTCTCCGTCAGCGACGAGACTCGCCTTCGCGACTTCTCCGCGCCGAAAGGTGATCTATCGTGATCAAATATTTATAAGCGGCGACCGTCGCCGCCGCTTCGGAGCGAGTCGACGCGTTTCTATGGGATTCCTCCTCGTCGGGACGGTCCCGATCCTCCTCGCCGCGAACGACGAGTTAACTCGTCGCCGAGAAACGGCCCCGCGCGTTACGACAAACACGGTCGTCCTACGATTTCGATGGAAATGTTCTTCGCGGGACTTGTTCCCGAGCCTCGAGCATCTTCGAACGATCGTCGAAGAATCCGCTCCGAGAAACTGCATGCGAAATTGGTCTTGATTCATCGCACCGCGATTTCTTTCGTAACCGCGTCGATCAGCGCCTCCTCTCCTCGTCGTTCGTAATTTCTAATTCGTTTATAATTTTCGTCCCCGTGCCTCGTCGTTTTACCTTTGTCCCCAGGCTTCGGCAGAATCTGCTTCGACTTAGAAGGAACACGTAATCATTGATATCTCATTTTTGAACGATTATAATACGGTAATGTCTCTCTAATCGACGCTCGGATTGTCCACGGAAATGGACAATTTCGAGAAGAGGGGATACAAATATTGGAGATTTAGGGTCGTTTTTATGGTCATTGATTCTCAAGGATTATAAAAACGGGCTGCAAGGCTCGAATAATCGGATCTCCTTTTCCCCGAATTGTCCATTTTTGTGCGCGATCTGAGCGTCAGTTAGGGAGACATTACTGTACTTACATACAAAGTGATAAAACCGAGGAATATATTTAGGAATATATTTATTTATTAAATATTTATTAAATATAAAATTATATTTATATATTTATTTAAATTTAGGAATATAGTTATTTATTAAATGATAAAAGAAACATAATTTGAGAAACAACCATCGGTAATGAAGCAACGAAATTTATTAACCCTTTGGACTCGAAGCCATTTTAACTGTAAATCTAAAATAATTTTTCTCTAGTTGACGCTCGGATTGTCCACGAAAATGGACAATTTGGGAAGAGGGGATACGAATATTCGAGCTTTCGGGGTCGTTTTTACGGTCACTGATCCTCAACAATTATAAAAACAGGCTACAAGGCTCGAATAATCGTATCTCCTCTTCCCAAATCGTCCATTCTTGAGCGTCAATCTGAGCGTCAGTAAGGGAGACATTACTATAGACATTTGTAGAGATCGAAGCTCGCCGAGAGAAAATGCCCGCGATGCGATCGATAAAAAGCCCCGCGAAATTTGTCTCAAAAATTAAACGACGCTGCTAAGGCCCACAAAAGGCGATCTTTGAGCTGGGGCTTGCAATCTAGCTGCTCCACGCGGTTGCTTCCGATCGGATTAACATATTACAAATGCACTTTCTTTAGCTGGTCGCGGCGCAGTGGCCGCTGCATCGCGCGACGAAAGGAAAAGTTTCCGAAGATTTCGCAATCGTCGTGCTTCCATTTGCTCGCCCCGAATCATTAGAAAAAAAAAAGAAGAACAAGTCGAAAGGAACTTTCGCGAAGTTCGCGGAGTCGATCGTCGACAAAACGCGGTCGCCGTGAGCTGGACGAAGTTTTTTTGGAGAACTGGGTCAAAACGGACTCGAGCACCGTCGTTCGAGATTTAATCGATGGAGATCTCGAGGCTCGCCTGTCGCCGACGAGAACGCCGCTTTTTTCTCGCGAATAAAATAAGCCCGTAAACGGGCCCCATGGGCGGCGGAGGGCCGCCCAACGGCTCGGAGGTGGGTGCTGCGATCGCAGAGTTTTCTGGAGTTGGACCAACCGGTGGCCTCGCGTGTTTACTCGCGTGTTGATCTGCCGTATGCGTAATGGCACGTATGCGGCGAGCCGGCGTCTCGACGACGAGCAAAACGACGGAGAACTAGAAGCACGATGCTATCGGGGCAGCAGCTCCTCTGCACGCTTCGCGCAAGGATGAACGATGATTTGTCGGCTCGCCGACGAGGCGCGAGAGCCGCATAAATTCTTATTAGCAGGCCGTTATCGCCGCCTGTAAAAATCCGGCGGGATAAAGGCCCCGATCCGCGTCCCACTCGTTAGACCGATAACTATCTTGGCTCCTAGGCGAACGCAGCCACCCCACCGTCTTTATTCTCCGCCGATGATCGATACTTTACTGCTTCCCGAGTTGTTTCGTCGCGTTTCCACGAAAATTCGTTTCACTGGCATCGTGAACAGGTGTTCGATAACCGTCAAAGAATATCATCGAATTAAAGGGAAATTTACTTCGTACAGCGATAATACTTGGGTCGCATAATTTTTTTAAATACGCATAATTTTCGTATCGTTTTTCGTTGCTGTAAAATAACGATGCGGGTCATTGAACTTTTTTTGTATACTTTCAGAATTTATATGCAACGTTTTACAATTTCTGCGATCACTGTAATAGTGTTTTATAGGTTCTGGTATATAATTTTATTATAGTAAAGAATAAGATCTAATTGATGAGAAATGTGCTTTGTATAGTGAAAATGCTCGTGTCGTTTGTCCAATATGTATAATTGATACGTGCTTTTCATTAATCGATCAATTTTCGTTGCTGTAAATAAATAATGCGGATCACTGAACTTTTTTGTATACTTTCAGAATTTAAATGCAACGTTTTACAATTACTGCGATCTCTATGGTGGTTCTGTATAAGTTCTTTCTAAGTTTATTATGGTGTACAATTTTGTACAACATAATTACAGCATAATATTATATTGTACAATTTTATTATATTGCATAATTTTATTGTAATATAAAATTTTATTATATTGTACAATTTTATCATATTATACAATTTTATTATATTGTACAATTTTATTATATTGTGCAATTTCATTATATTGCATAATTGTATTGTATTGTACAATTTTATTATATTGTACAATTTTATTATATCGTACAATTTCACTATATTGTACAATATTATAATATTATACAATTTTTCTTGGACCATCGGATGATCGAGATTCTATTGTACTTAGCAAAGGTACCGCCGCGCACTTTGGTACCTTTAACAGCATTTTGTTCTCATATGTAAAACCAGATTCGACGATGTAAACATTGTTTTGCTCTGGTCGGAGTTTCCGGGGTCGTTTTTCGGCGCGCGAACGCGACAAGGGTCGACGGTCTGCGCGTAAAGAACCGCGCGCTCCGAATTGTTTATTTCGTAGTTCGGATTCTACCCCTACCTGTATCGTCACTTTTGCAGAACCAGTGGTCGGTGGCAAACGGATCTCAGAAGGGCGGAACGTCCTCGTGAAAATGCAGAACGCCCTCGGACCGCTCGGCGTGCTCTACGATTGCATGGAGAAACGGACGCGAGTCAAGGTACGTGGTCGTCGTCTCCCTCGGATTTCAACGTCTCACTTCGAGCTGCATCGCTCCAGCCCGGCTACATATTAATCAAGAGGCGGCGGCGGTTCTGGCCTCGGATCGGAGTCGAAACCGAGTTACATAATCGAGATTCTAGGCGAGAAAGAGAAGCACCTTTCCCCCCGGCTGGCGGATCGCCGGCAAAAAGGCGAGGAGAGAGTGAGAAAGTATCGCCGCGGAGACAAAAGGCGGGGAGACAATCGCCGGCGTCTCGGTGCCTTGTCTCCGCCAGGCAGGGACGGAGAATTCGAGGGTTGTCCCCGAACCGGGCAACGTAAACACCCACACACCACCCATTTCTGCCTGACCCGTGGCATTGTGCGCGCACGCACACGCGGCTGACACACTTTCGCGGCCGGCACAGAGAAAGAGAGACACGTGCGAGCATCGCGGCGCAAAGCCAGTAACAGCCAGAGCCCGACCAGCCCTTCGAAGGTGAACGAAAGGTGCCGCTGTACAGGGTGATCCATCTGGCGACGATCGTACCGATATTCTCCTTCGGTCGCGCCGACGAAGATCGCTCGAAAGGCTTTTCTTTATTGTGTAAAGAAATTTTATTTTATTATTATTTTCTTCATTCTTACACAGATTGCAACAGAATGTTCGAATGGTCGATTCTCAAGCAAAATTTTCGATAATTGCGGTGGCGCGAAAGTACGAGCATGTTACATCGATCGTTCCTCGGCTCGACGAAGTCTAGAGATTCTGTCGAGTTCTAAGTTCTAATGCAGGCATGAATAACTTCAACCCTTTTCACTCGTATGTCCTCTGTACGGCGACATTATACGTTTCACCGTTGCGCCAGCACGTCGCCATATACAGGGTATCCTAAAATTATTGTATTTCCGAGAACTGAGGGGTTCGTGAGGTCATTTGAAGTAACTTTTTCCTTGGCGAAAATGCGATCCGCGGCTTCGTTTACGAGTTATTGACGAAAAACAGTGACCAATGAGAGAGGCGGGATCAGCTGGCGCGTGGCGGCCGAGCCAATGAACGGAACTGGGCCCCGTGCGCTCGGCCGGCTCGCGCTAGCCGAGCTCGCTTCTCATTGGTCAGCGTTTTTCGTTGATAACTCGTGAACGATGCCTCGGAGAATATTTTTGTAAAGGAGAAAGTTATTTGAAATGATCTCAGGAACCATACATTTTCAGGAAATACCACAATTTTGGGACATCCTGTATGGTAAATTCTGCCTAATTGACGCTCAGATTGTACAATAAATTCTCGAGACATTATTCGAGCCTTGCACCTCGTTTTTATAGTTATCGATTGTCAACTATGAAAACAAGCCTCAATATGCTCGAATAATCGTGTCTCCTCTTCCCAAATTGCTCACTTTTGTGCACAAGCTGAGCGTTAATTAGGGAGAATATTTAGTCGCAATTCTACATTTTACTATTGTACATATATTTACTGTTTCATTCCAGGCACCATTGTTACAATGTTTTCTTTCAATTCCCGCATAAATGCGCGCGTATATATAAAATAAAACAAATAAATAAAAGATCAAAGGTTTTTCCTCTTTACGAGTGCAAAGGGTTGATCCTTAACCACTACCAATTACCGCTGCTAATTACTTATTCATCTGCGGTGATAACACAATCGTAAGAACAAATGCAACATTGTGAAACGAAGAAACGTTCTGATTAATTTGGATCGTTTACTTAACACTATTCTGCCAACAATAACGCAATAAAGATTAACTACCTGCGAGATCGCGAATACGTAACTTTTAATAGTTACAGGGTCAAGAGTTGAACGCAATTTAATGTCGTTTGTAGCACGCAAGGACAAGATTTACGTGGCCGATCAAATTTTGGAACTTTTTACCGTGATCTAACGTTGCTTCGCAGTTATTACATGTTCGATCGCAATAATTTCGCAGACAATAAAAAAGAAAGATATTTCTCGCGCGCCTACTATATTATATTATATAATATACTACTATATTACTACTATATATAATATACGCCTACTATATTATATATTTCTCTAGTGCGTTTGCTCGCGAACGTTTAAAGATCGACGACGGTAGAACAGAGTTTCGTTTCCACATAAAAGCACGGAATGGCATTCGCGATTATCGGATTTTCACGAGTCGGACTCGCCGAAGGCAAGGGGTTCAGCCGGTCCTTTCGAAGACGTTTTATCTTTGGATCACCCTGTAGATCGCGGAGGGAGTAAAAGAGGCGGCTAACTGTTCGGGTCAACACACTCGTCTCCATGGAGACAGCCGAGGCCCTTCTCGCCCTTGATACGCCCCTGATCGTCCCCTTTCTCCGTCTCGAAGGGTTCGAGCCGGTCCGAAAAAAGGCGAGATCTCTCTCCTCGTGCGCCTTTGAAAAGCCCATTTCGGAAAGGGCCACTCGCCGGGAAACGCCGCTTTCTTCCACCCTCAGCTCCCTGCTCTTCCTCCTCCACCTCATACGCTGTCTGCTCGTCTTCTATTCGCGCCGAGAGAGGAACGCGGAGGAGTTTCGCCGATGCGATCGCATCCCTCGAAATTCGGCTAGTAGTGCAAACGCTTATTTCGAGCGGAGGGTGACGGGTTCCCTGCAGCGTGGAGAATGTTTTGGCCCCGGCGAATCGATGGCCATCTCCCGAAGGCTACCGTCGCCTGGGGAGGTAAGGGGGTGGGAGTGCTCGCTGTCGCACTTATCCCTCGAAAGAAGGGCGCTTCCTCGAAGAGAGGGGTTCGGAATACGAGCCTGTAACGAGCGCGTTCTACAAATCGGGATTCGGACGAGTCTGTGTTTACTCTGCGAATATACTTGTTTGTCTGATCATCTTTTTTTTTGTTCTCAAATCTGCAGACGTCCGCGCTCGTTCTCTCCATCTCGTAACGATGAGCTACGAAATTTCAGCGAGACACAAATTTCACCGTTGATTTTCGCGTGTCTCGAAACGGAACCCGTCATCAGAATGACGGATCAATAATTTTTTTACGATTATTCAGATCGCGAATCTGCATTTGCGAGTTATTTATTCGACGCGCGGCTCATTAGCGGCAAATTTAGCAATAACACTCGTTAAAAATCGGAATAAATGTCGCATTGTTGCTTTGAAGGACGGACATAAAACAGCTGCCTCGAGTGCACCGCCGTGTACGCATCGCCTCGTGGAGGTCGCGAGAGATCGAATTAGACTTTCTTGCAACTTTTATATTGCTATGGTATGTATATATTGCCGGAATCGAGACATTTATTTAACGATTTCCGGTAAAAGTGCGAAGTGCGAAGTCTCGAAATTTTAATACTTCGACGAATGAAAATCGTGAGACTGCACGATCGTACGAACACCTTCCCCGAATCGGGTCGTAAGACCACCTTTTCGAATGCGAACGAGCGCGGTGCAAATTTTTTAAGAGGACGACGCGCTTTTATCGTGATCGGCTAGAAAGCGGCAGACTTTAATCGACGACGTCGCGGCTGAATTCGATTTAAAGTTTAGGGCCCGTAAACATTGGACAAGCTGGGTTCAGCAAAAAAATATCGCCCTCGGACGAATCGAAATTCGATCGCATATCTCCCGGCGATTATTTGAGTATTTCTTTTCTCCCTTGATCGTTCGTCCACTGCTGCATAATGTCCGAGAACAGAGCGAACAGAGTGCGAACGCATCATCGCCAGGCTCGGACGATTAAAACGTTCGGATTATATTATATATAATTATATTATTAATATAATATATATATAATATATTAATAATTATATTATTAATATAATATATATATATATAATATATTAATAATTATATTATTAATATAATATATATATAATATATTAATAATTATATTATTAATATAATATATATATATAATATATAATTATATTATATATTACATATATATTCGCTTCTGAATTCACAGACTTAGATCCGACCGAACGAACACCGCAGCCACATAATTTAACACTAATAAACCTACCGCGGTCAAAGTGACCGCTTTCTTATTTAGCAATTCTGCAAAGTTCCGAGACTCTTTCGTGGAAAACGCTTGAATAAGTTACATCATCGGAGCAAGTTTTATACTAAAAACTTCACGCAAATTCTAAATAAATTCGGTCTTCCCGCTTTCGTGAAGCGCAGTACATGCCAGTTAGTATTACTGCTTGGTGGTAGGTTTAGTGTTAACCGTTTGCGTACCACGAGCCACTTTTGCGCTCTTCAGACTTCGTGTCGAGAAAAGCCAGGGCATTTGGCCGAAACAGACGACTTACGGCCCACCCGAAATTTGTCGGAACGTGCTCGGTCTTTCAGACGCATGTATACGTCGCGCGTCGCATCGCTGTCAGTAATCCAATTTGCATTTTGTTGTTACCTATTCTAAATTAATAGTATATATATTTTCATTCATAACGTTTTATTTTATGTTTCACGGCTTTTCTCGACACATAATCGAAGGAGCGCTATTGCGCTCTTCGGCTCTTTTCGACACATAATCGAAGGAGTGCTATCGCGCTCTTCGGCTTTTTTCGACACATGATCGAAGAAGCGCTATTGCGCTCTTCGGCTTTCTTCGAAACATAATCGAAGGAGCGCTATTGCTCTCTTCGGTTTTTCTCGACACATAATCGAAGAAGCGCTATTGTGCTCTTCGGCGCTTTTCGACACATAATCGAAGGAGTGCTATCGCGCTCTTCGGCTTTCTTCGAAACATAATCGAAGAAGCGCTATTGCGCTCTTCGGCGCTTTTCGAAACATAATCGAAGAAGCGCTATTGCGCTCTTCGGCGCTTTTCGAAACATAATCGAAGGAGCGCTATTGCGCTCTTCGGCTCTTTTCGACACATAATCGAAGGAGTGCTATCGCGCTCTTCGGCTTTTTTCGACACATGATCGAAGAAGCGCTATTGCGCTCTTCGGCTTTCTTCGAAACATAATCGAAGGAGCGCTATTGCTCTCTTCGGTTTTTCTCGACACATAATCGAAGAAGCGCTATTGTGCTCTTCGGCGCTT